CCCACAAATATCTGTAACAACAAATCAAACACATTTTTTTCAGGAACTGAGATTTAAACAGAGAAACATATTATATTCTCCCGATATGTTGCATCTCTTACCTCAGTGCCAACGGAAGGCTGTTGTCCTGAATAGACACACTCTGGTGGAGGACCACCATACTTCCTCTGTCCAGTTGTCACATCTAGTGTATAACCCGTTCTCTCCAAAAGAGCCTTCAAAGAGAGTTATAAACCAAGTACAATCAATGAATACTAATAAAATATTCCATTAATATAGAGCTATTTATTCTGTAGGTTCTCCAACCTACGTTGAAAGTCAGCCTTAAACCTAATTTTCCTATTGGGTCATGCAACTGATATGTCAAGTGAATCTATCAGAATATCAGAACATAAACCACTTGGGTAAGAACCAATGTAATGCCAAAGATAAAAATTTCTCATTTTTCTGTCAAATCTGTTACACACAGTTTTCCAATTGCTTGTAAAACATCTGAGAACTTGGATTGTGAAGCAATAGTATAACATCTAAAGAAATAATAATTCTTGCAGATGTCATTTTCTGCAGAACTACACTTCTAGACATCCATATGCATCATCTTACAGTACCCTTCTTCAATTGCCTGTTACATTTCAAATACTTATTCAATTAGAAAAATCTGGGAGATTTAATTTATGGATCAAAAGATGAAGGATGCAGAATCCTCCTTTCAGAGAAATGAGGTTAAGACATGAGTTTCTGGCACAACTGAAGCAATAGGTAGTGCAAGAGAAGTTGCTGCAACTTGTTATGAAACACCATTTTTACTTTCCCTCAAAGGAATAAATAGATGATAGATGCATCCCTTAGACCAGGGTGTCAAATTGGTGGCCCATAGGCTGGATGCATCACGCACAGACCACACCCACCCTAGCTCTGTGAAGGATGTCGTGAAATGTCATGTGATGGCAATGTGACACGGCGAGTTTGACACCCGTGTCTTAGATACTATTAAAGATTTCATTTCTGCAAGCACATACATTTCCATTTCACTCAACAGTATAACTTAGTAATTCAGTAATTACGAAGGAAAAAATGGAACCAAAGAAAGAATAAAACAAAAATTAAAAAGTTGTAGGAATGGATCCATACTATGCATAAATGTTATGTTCAAATTATTTAATCATTTCACTGAGCATATTACTCTGGATTTATTCGTGACAATAATATTTTTTGTAATTTTTCCTGATAGAACCAGCTGAAATATTTGTGAGATATATTAAAGAGATTCAAGATCAGTGAGGCACATCCTGTTCATTAACCACTGAAAAATTAGCAGTACTGGACTACTTGTACTATCAGGTTATGTTAAAAGTAGTTACAACTGCTGGTTTAGAGATCAAATCTCAGGTTACACTGCTGATGAAGTGGCACTACAACTTCATGAAGTCATTTGTAAGTTATTCACATGTATCCTCCAAAAGCAAGATATAAATCAATCCCTCAAATCATAGTGCCATTGTAAAGTGTAAAAACATCAGTATAGAATGTCGATTATATTGTCCTAGTGTCAATTTATTTTATGTTCCTGAAGTACATTATCAATGGCACCTCCCTTAACAGGTACGAAAGAAAAACTGGATTTATATGAAAGATTACATAATAATATCCACAAGAGACAGCTACTAAAATGTATCCCAAGTATAAAAACTGAGCTGATAATCAGCACTGCAGGTAATATTATTTGTTTTGAATTACATCAATCTTCAGGGGAGAAAAAAACACCCTGTGGCTGTATTCATACTATTAAAGCACCATGGGCTTAAGAAAAAGTTTCTTACAAACATACCTTGATTTTTGCCTCATCTGGTCCTTTGCTGGAATCTGCCACTTTGGTCCCTTGTTTTTCTCGTTGTCTATATGTTTTCATGACGCCACATAAAAAGGCACTTTTGTTCTAAAAATAAATGAGATGGATGGATTGAAAAAAATATGAACTAAATTTCATAATGGATCAGTTGAAGATCAAGCAGTTTCTGTATATATGCTGAAATAAACAGAAATACTTCCATGGTACATTACCTGAACATGAGAGAGATCACTGTCTTTAAATTGTTGAAGCACTGCCAGTGCACCTTCTTCATTAAATTCCTTTAAAGCTTCAATAGCTCTTTCATCTAAATCACTGTGAGCAACTAGTCCTAGAAAAAGAAATATTTTATTCTAGGATGTCTCACTTAACTATTATGATATTCAAAAAAGTAACTTCTCAAATTAATGACTAGTTGTTATTAATTGCGATGTTAGGAATTTTTCACATACTAAAATGCCAAAAACATTAATTTCTATTTTATTCCTTCTGGAACTTGAACACTTAAGGAATTCTAGAAAAACTTATTGCATCTGAGTAATTAGACAATACTTTTTTGTTTCAAAAAGTAACTGATGAAAACTCTCAGCCATTCTACTGCATCTCAAAACTATGCTTCAGGACATAACTGAAAACACTGTAGCCACTACACCCAGGAATCCAAACAGTGAATCAGAAAAAAGAGACATATGCAATTACTACTTCACTACACAGTCCTCCAAAACCACGCAACCATAATCCAGTATGAACTATTCCTAAAGGTTTACATTCCAACTGCTTGCCCTCACCACCACCCCTTCATTCAATGCCAAAGGCTACTCTAAACTAATAGAAACATTGCATATTAATATTGAGCACCCAAAAAAATTAAGAAAACTGCAGTCCCCATACTTTTTTGTTTGGAAACCACAAAAAGTTGCTATTTTAGCCCAAAGCAAGGAAAGTCCAATAGAAAATAGTGAATTTGCAAGTTTTACATCTTACCTGCAACGTAAATTTCATCTAGTTTTTCAGCAACTTTCTGTGGTAAACCAGCATCAAGCAATGTCTGGAAATGCTCAGAATGGGTAACTGCAGCAGAAGTATCCATGGGCTCTTCAGTACCATTCCCATTAACATGTTCAGAAGCCATGTTTCCAGATATCTGTTCAAACGCAATAAGCATAATTAAGCTAGAGACCTTACAAGCCAAACAATTCGGGTGTCAATATATGCAGCTGCCTCCAAGATGCTTGCAGAGTTCTTTAGCCCGCTTTCCCTACCGCTTTTCGAAATCAGAAAGCTTAACAACCTTTTTAATTTTTATTTTTCCAAATGAAAAGAACTAATAGCGCAAAGCAATATCCTGAAACCACTGCCAAACTCTCTGACTCACGTCTCTCTGAAGCACGCCCTAAAAAGCTCCGAAGAAGCTCTTCTAACTAGTAACAAGCAGCAAACGGAGGCGGGAGGGAGAGAAAACCGGGAGGACGCCACCGCCATATAGCCATCCACTAGGCTCCTTTCGCCCTAGCCGCCCTGTGTACTTAACCTGTCCACGAGACCCGCTCCTCGACTACATTCAAAGTGTGCCGCCTTCCCGCCTCTCTGACAGGGCCTAAGCCGCCAGGCCAAAAGGAACAAAGCGCTCTCTTAATCCGCGCCCAATCGAGGAGGTGGCGGTGGCTGCCGCCATAAGCCTGAGAGAAACACGTGCTCGGCGCGTTCAAATGTCTTACAACTTCCTCCAGCGACCGACTTCCCTCCCTCCCTCCTTCTCCCTGCCGCCGCCCCCCCCCCCCGCCCGGCCCACCCCCCCCCCCCCCCCCCCCCCCCCCCTTTCCCCCCCCCCCCGCCTCAGGGAGAAGAATTGCAACACCTTGAGTCCTATTTCGCCACGCGGGATTGTGGGTGGGGGTTGGGTTGGGGTGGAAAAGGGAAAGCGAGAGAAGGTAAGAGAAGAAAATGAGCGCTCGACATCTGTCCGGCTCTTCCCTCCTCCCACCCCGGAACAATGCATACAAATCACAGCTCCTCTGCCGCCGCCGCCGCCGCCCCGCCATGCGTTTCCCACCAACTCCTGTGTGAGGGGAGTTCGGTTTTCCCAGGCGAGCTTCTCCGCCGGGCCCACCCGATTTTTACGTGGACCCGAGGCGGGCGGCTCTTTAACACCACCGCCACATCGGCTGCCGCCGCCGGGAGTCCCTGCCCTGCTCCTTCCTTCCCCACCCCACCCCACCGGCGCCTCGTGGCCAATGAATGGCGCCCGGACAATGAGGCGCTGGGAGCCTGTTCCGAGGACGGGCAGAGGCAGGCGAGCACGCGGATGGGGTCCCGCTTCCACGCCATGCCTTCGGCCTAGCGTGGCCCGCCGCCGGGAGTCAAGAATGCCTCGCAGGCAGTGGCGGCGGCGGCAGCGGCACTCGGACAGGCCGCTGGCTCAAACCGTCCTCTTTGTTTTAAGCTCCCGCTTCATTATTTTTTTGGGGGGGGGAGGGCGAACGGTCGGCTATCCCCGAGGGACCTTTTCCCTCGCGGCTGTTTCCAGCCCGCCTCCTCCTCCCCGGGAGTTATTTTTTTGGGGGGCTCTCCTTTTTTTTCATGCCCGACTCCTTCCCTCCCTCCCCTTCGCTTGACAATCCCCGGCGGCGGCTGACCTGTGTGGGCGAGCGGCGGGGGTGATGAATGGTGAGCGAAAGAGCTCCGGAGGGGGTGGTGGGGGCGCAGTGAAGGAGCTGCCCCTTCTCCGCTCCCTCAGCGTGTCCGGAGAATGTGCAGGAGCCTGCGTAAAATGGCGGCCGCTCGAGCGCTCACGCCGCTGCTGGCACCAGCCAACCCCAGCCCCCTTCCACTCGGCTCAGGCAGGGAGGGGAGAGGCGAGGAGGAGGAGGAGGCGGCGCCGGCGCCGCACGCGCGCGCGCGCGCGCCTCCTGGCGCAGCCCCAACGCCGGGGTCTCCCGAGCCGCTCCACAAGGGTTATCGCCCCGCCTGCTGCTGGGGAAGAGGGTGGGGGGGGGGAGCTGAGCTCGGAAGCAGGCGGCGACCAACCTGACTGCGCACGCGCGCGGCTAGATGCACCCCTCGCGTAGCACGTTGCGTAGGAAGTTCGTCCTCTTTTTTTTTTTTTTTTGCCGGCGGCCGGGGGGGGGGTGGGGACCTTTCGGGATTCCCCCCCCCCCCCCGCCCCCACGATCCTGCTCACTCCCTGGTGCGAATGAATGGTAATTTTATTCTCAAGCTGCTTCTGTGACAGGCTCATTTGCCGGTGGGAGGGGGTGTTGGTGGGGGTGATGAATTTTTGAATGGCTTTGTGGTATTGCTGAGATCGTGAATAAAAATACTAATCACAATAGGTGGCGTATAAATATTGGAAAAATTCAACGTTGTAGCTAGGGAAACATCACATTTAGAATGCATTCAGATCATTACAGCAGCCTCCGTGGCACCAGGGTATAATCCAAACTGAAGTACAGATAGTCCTCAAATTAATCTATCTCTTCTCTTTGTACACTCTGAAGGATTATTGTACCAGAACAGTTTTTGAATCAAAGTAGAGTAAAACTTCCATAGCTCCATAACCTCCTTACATTGTCGACCTCCCTAAATTGATCTAATTGTCCTAGACCAGACATATGCTATAGCTACACACAATCGAAAACCAACCTCTCTATATTGACCACCTCTGTAAATTTTATCTTGACCGCCTGGGCCTTGACACACAGTATGAATTTACTTTCTATATCTTGACCAGTTGAGTCAAGTCTGCACCAAGGGCAAGAAAAGTGAAATGCAGAATTGGTAGCAATGAATTTCTTTCTTTCAAGAAGGATATCAAAGAATACAATATTTTTTACTTTGATTTGGCAGTTTAACAATAATAATTATGGATTCGTTTCATAATACATATTGCACAAAGATTTATTTTTTTCCATTTTTTCCCTCTTTTTCAGTGTTGATAAAAAAATAGCCAATGGTAAAATGAAACAAATACATACACAGACATATGCGAGCCGTTTTACTCCTTTTACTTTGCAGTGGTCATCACAGCAAATGCTTGGAATAAAGTTCAGGCTGAAACTATACAGAAGCGCTTCAAGAAAACTGGATTTGTTACAACCCAAGAGCAAGATGTTGCAGCCTCACTAGGCAGCCCATCTCCCATGGAGGGATTCGAGGGAGTAGATTTTGAAGAGTTTGTTGCAATGGATTATGGCAATGTGCAATGAACCTGACCTAGAAGCAATTTTCCAATCGGTATGGAACGAGGTACAACCCAGCGGAAAATGCTGGAAGTAAGTGATGAAACAGAAGAATTAAGTGAAGAATTAGGTGAGGAGGACACAGAAATTGCAGATATTCCAAAAGAAGAGGATGTCAGTCATTTGATAAGGCAATTAAAGTCATTTGCCGTGGGAAAATGCCCAGGTATCTGAGTGATATAACCAGCATTGAGAGTGCTTTCTCCACTTACTTTTATAAAAAGAATAAGAAACAGACTAAAAAGAATGAACAGACTGAGGAAACAATACATACGTAAATATTGATTTTGTATGATACAATATTTTATTAATAATTTTCCTGTTTTCACTATGTTTCTGTATAACATTCTCTAATAAAAGTTGTACAATAAAATGAGGCACGTGTACGTATTAGTACAGTTGTTCCGTATATTGATAACCACTGTATGTTGACCCCTTTCCTTCAGTGGTCAACTTACTGTACTTCAAATCCACTAATTTAAAGAATATGTAAAAGATTTAGGGCCTTTTGTAGCTGTGCATATTCACAAAGTTCTGGCCATTGCAGCGTATCTGCAGTTACATGATCATGGTTTCCAGTGCTCCTGGCCAGCTTCCCACAAGCAAAGTCAATGGGGAAACCAGCAGGAAGCCAGAAATCGTTCTTAGTGCATTGTACTGCAATAATTTTTGAACAATAGCAATATGATTTGGGGAAATTTAATGTTTATTCTGGTTACATCACGGCACTACCTTTGTCTCAAAGGATGGCCCAACAGGTCATGGGTTTGTTATATAAAACTATAGGTTAAGATACTTAAAATTTATAGTTTAAAGACTAGAGAGGCCAAATATTACTAAAAATTAGGAAAGCATTAATTGGGAAAAAACTACATTTATGCATATTCCAGCAGTACATAGCTATCGCTCATTTAGACGGAGCTAATAACATTACTAATACCAACTGGATTTCATTCTAAAACTTGCCATATTTAAATACAGAAAGGTGATCTTTTGGGTTCAAAGCTGCACACTTCTTCAGGATGCCTAACCTTTTTTCTGGCCAGTTGATAAAATAAATGTTAAATTTGGCCTTTCCAGGCAAGATTACAGAGTTCTTTCTGGTAATGGAGAACAAACATACAGTAACTACTAGAAAAAAATGTATTTATTCTTCCTTTCTCCTTGCAATCCTGCTGAAAATTGCTAGCTTTTTGCTCCCATTAGCTGGAAACATATAATCTTAAATAGAATTACTATAATCTTGTTTTAAAATTGCTGGTGTCTTGTTCCCGCCCAACAATTCAAATTCCAACAATTACCCCCAATATTACAAAGCTGAAGTGGGTGTTCATGTGAGGGTCAATCAGACATTTTAATTGATCCCACTTCCACTTTAAAGAATTCAGAAAGTATAAATGGTTTTACCAGATTTGTGAAAATTACAAAAGTTATGGAAAGTTGCAAATTATGTTCAAATGTTTCTGGAACTGAAAAAGCCCGGATTGTATCTTTCAATGCTACCCATAACTGAACCAGCAAACCAGTAAAATGTCAAGTGAAGTTGAAGGTCGTCTTAAGGCTGGGGCAGACTTCTCCAGCACTGCGGGTGAGGGAATGTATGCATGTCATTCAGGGACAGTTGCATAGGCGTTACTTTTACACATCAGAGAATGTTAATGTTCTGGTTAGGCAGCCGTCAAACAGCAAAGCACAGAAGTTGGATCAACCAATCAACACACATCTCGAGATTGGATTCAGGTTTGCTTTGGAGTCTGAAGCTCTCTGCAACCTCCTCTTACACACAAATCCCTTTGTAGTGTAGGTATGTGGCAAGGGCTATGGGCAGTTGTGGTCAACTCCAAGTCAGCCTTTAGTAAGGACTGTCTTATGCAGAATGAACTATTGATTCATAGTATTGTCTGCACTAGAGTGAACTGGAGATGTATGTGAAGTGCCAGTTCTACTGTGACACACTTTCCCTTAAAGGAAATTATGGCACCTATGAAGTATTTCGTGAGGTCAAATTGCCTGACTCCACTTATAAATGAAACTGTCACTCTTTGCAGAACAGTCATCTGCAGATCCTAAAAGTACTGCTACTCATTCAGTCTTTGTACTGTCTTCCAGTTTACCTAACAAAGCTAATTCAATAAAGCGTTATAGATTAGATTACCACTTCGAGGCACTTGTTGTATCCAGTAATGGAAGAAGACAATTCACAACCAAACATGCTCAGAGGTTCAATTCTTTTAATTTTTAGTTGCAATGGTTGTGTTGCTTTTAGACTGGGGGAATATGGTTTGTTTTGGAATTGAACTTTAAAACTGTACATTTATATTTAAACTTCATATAAGCTTGAGTGAAGGAACCTGCTGCCCAAGACAGGTTTCTTTTTAACACATTAGCCCAGAAGACTCACCACAATGTCACACATTAGAATAGTTACTGTATACTCAATACAACTGGGTTGGTCAGATGTGACTGAAAACGTGTAAGTTTTTGGCTACTTTTTAAAATGGCTGTCGGTTGCATATTTTTCATTGTTTGGACAAGTATAGTTAAATTGTGAAGATTACTGACTGGAGCTTGAAATCTTTTTTGGTGACACTTCTCTCCTAAGAACTCTCTGATTTCCATGACTTCCAAATGCTGCAGTTCTAACATTTAAATCTACAAAACTCCTTTAAAGGCATAAACAAGTCCTAGCAAAGGGAATGTCTGAAACATTTAAAATTCCTTTCATAAATCATTCCGTTAAAAGAGAATTTTATACATAGCATTACAGTAATACTCCTACCATTTGGTCTCAAATATTACTGAAAGTAATTATTCTGCTTTTTAAAATGTTTCCTTATCCACCTTACCAACAAAGTTTCATCAATAAAAGTCCAATCTGGTACATTAAATCTTTATTTGTATAATTTATTGCAATTACAAAAAATACATTCTGGTGTTAATAAAGAGTTGTGTTTTTAATGCACTGATTTTCTTCAAATCTTCAAAGATTAGAGCTCTTGCATGATGTTAACTTCGGCCAAGCCAACTTCAGATTATGTTCCCCTTCGACTTCAACACTGTTGATAAAAATGGACAAATGCAGGAGACAAAGCATACTAATTTATATCTTGCCACATGCTTGTGTTCAAAAATCCTAGTGAGGGTCATTTGAGCAAACACAAATTGCACTATTCAGAATTATTTGCCATATTTCGAAATCCGAATAATAAAATATTTTGGCACATTCATTCATTTAAGAACAAAAATACATCTACAAAATAGTCTATATTCTCTAGTCTTGTGTTGGACATTTGCACATATGGGCATTAACAATATAACATTTGCAGAACTGTAAATTCTCAGCAAAAGTTAATACAAGTACAGTAGTCATTCAACCGACATACAAGCAGTTGCTTGAAATACTGTTTTCAAGCAATGTTTTTAATTGTTTAATAGTCTGGATATTTTAGTGTTCATTCATTGGAGTTCTCTTATCAGTCCTGAATCCAGCTAATAGTTTAATTGTGTTGTACATTATCTTACCTTTTCCCCCCAGCAGACATAATATCTGTCTTTAGTCCAAGACTGCTCCCATATCACTGTTGAAAAGCAATGATGGAATACTTTACTATACTGAGCAAGGCAATGTATTTAAAAAATTGGCTTTTTTCCCAACAACTCAATTCTTTTAGTTCACAATTGGGGTCAATATGATAGGACTGCCCAACAAAAATGCCTAATATACTAAAGTGCAGCTTCAATGAGAACTGAATTTTTAAAATTGAATCTTAAATTTGCAGAGGTTGCAAAGATTTATTTCACTTTCATCTAAATTAAGCCTAGTAGTAAATCAGAACACAGTAATCCAAAATATTCTACTCACTTGATGCATGTTAGGAATCAGAAACTCAAGACCCAATGCCAAATGCGTCCCAGCTGCTCTCTGAATTTCATCTACAAGTCAAAATAGCATCCGTGTAAGAGAATATTCTAGCAGCAATGTTTCTGCATAACAAATTCCAGTTGTATTAATGGCAGTATAACCTCAGAAGCCGGATCCAAATTGGCATTTTTTCATCAAGAAGTCAGGTTCGGGATAGCCTCATCACTGGTTAGGCCATTCCATACTATTTATTATAGTAAAAACAGTTCACACATACCTTCATCTTAATAGTAGTGTTATTAGGTCTGAAAAGAGAAAAAGCAAATGTAAATTCTTATTCCTTACTTTGCATTTCTAGTAAAGGACAAGTTGTTATAAAGAAGCATTCAAACAAAAATTGGTTCAAAGTTATTACTTTGCACCAATTGGTTCAAAGTTATGGAATTTAAGTACAAATGCAACACCTATAATGCCAAGAAAGAAAAAATATTAATTGAATGCAAATTACGGCTTCCAAAGACAGGCTTGCATTCTTTACATTCTTAAGAGTTGTCCATCCATCAGCAAAATTAATTTTCTGCCTCTGTAACTTTCAAATCAACCCCAGAAGGCTGAGAAACCCTCAGAATAGATTTGAGAAATTTGATTCTACAAGAGAAATATGTAACTATCATTGTAGGCCTAAATGATTCCAACAAGAATGCCATTTCATGAACAGGAATGATTCCATTCTTACAAAGTGAAGATTTTTCCAACAGCAAATGTTACAATTGAAAAGGAGGCCTTATACATATATACTCTTAGTACAGGGAGTTTGGTTAAGGTACTAGTTTAGAAATCAGGAACCATGATGCCTTCAGGCATAAAAACCAGCTGGGTAACTTTGGGCTTCACACTCTCAGCCCAACACACCTCATGGTTGTTGTGGGAAATAGTAGGCAGGAGTATTAAATATGTTTGGCACCTTGAGTTGACCTAATTTTTAAAGTGTGATAAAAATTCCTGTACAACAATTTTCCAAATTTCACATCCAGGTAGCCCTATGGCCACAATTGAGCCCAACATTTATGTTGCTAAGTGAAATATTTGTTAAGTGAGTTTTGCCCTATTTTATGACCTTTCTTGCTACAGCTGTTAAATTAGTAATATGGTTAAGTGAATCTGGCTTCCTCATTGATCTTGGTTGTCAGAAGTTTGCAAGAACTGATCACATGACTCCAGGACACAGCAACTGTCATAAATATGAACCAGTTGCAAAACATCAAAATTTTGATCATGTGACCATGGGGATGCTGCAACAGTTGTGGGAAAGTCATAAATCATTTTTTTCAGCGACACTAACTTCAGTCACTAAATGAATTGTTGTAAGTCAAGGACTACCTGTATAGTAACCATCTTTATGGTGACAAAAGTATTTCAGTTGGAATTATGTCTATAAGATATATAGTATTTGGTCAAGAATTTATTTTCATCGGTCACACTAACTTCAAATTGAAAATTTACACTGACTATAGAATTTGCTGCCCAGTAGTCTAACCAAAACTATTTATTCATAGGGATGTCCTTATCCAGCAAATATTTCATAATAAAATATTTTTAAAAAGATAAATGCAAACTCATATAAAGAAAAATAATTGAAGAGGTTAAAACATGAAAAAATAGAAAATATACAAAATTTGAATATTACTTTAAAATTCTCGGTATCAGTTGTGTACATGAATCCAAAATATTCTAATTTTACACATCCATTAACATGATAAAATGACCCTTTTATTTCACATCTCCAACATAAATTCAAACTACCATTATAAATTTGACAATGAGTATTTAAATTCTTAATGGCTTGTGAACTCTACCACAAGAGACAACTCTTTCCAAATAATTCAAGCGAAGATAATTTTTGAATGCTTTGTTCTGACCAAATTTCCATGCTGAAACGGAGCTAGCCAATTATGGAACATTATGCTCCTTCACATTTTGCCAGCATTTCCTATGAGGCATAAATTCCCTTTATTTTAATCTACACAGCTATAATGCATTTGTTTTATCTTTATTAACATTTATTTCAGCATTATATATAGGCAATAGACAGTCAGAAAATAGAAGCAGAAAAAAGCAACTTAATTCTTTCAAGATTTAAATTAGATTTCTCACAAAAGTATCCAAGTAAGGATAGTCCTGACAGTGTTATTCTAACCTACTGGTAAAATTTAAAAATGTACACCAAATCTTAGATGTTATTCATTCACAAATGAGCCTCTACCACCCACTGCATTTTATATAAATACAGCAATATTACAAACGACTGGTTCTAATCCCATGTAAGTGTGTCCCTTCTTCATAAAACAAATATATTCGCCTACAATCAAATATAGTGCAATACTTAAAACTAACATTCAATTGTGAAACGTACCACAGAGTTCATTGTGTGTAACAGCAACACCATCACATGTTTTAGGGTCATATTTCCTGGAACGTAAAAAAAAATAGTTTTAAAAATCAAATGGCAAATACCCTTGTATAGTAATCAAGCTTTGTAAGTGAATCCTAATATTTGGAGCTTCCTTTTCACGTTATTCACTAGCATGTGTTACTGCATGTGTCATTCTGGAACTATGCAGCACGAAATCACCAATTCAAATGACAACCCGTTACACACCACGTGACTTTAAGTAAGCCATGCTTTCAGAGCTTCTCTCCAACCCTGGTCCACCAGCAAAAATGTGCAGGGTGGTCATTTTTGAAGTATTATAAACTGAACTATTAACTACACTTATAGTATCTAACCAGATTTTTTCCCCTCTCTCTAGCCACTAATTTGAGTTGCAGCCGAGCATCGAAACCAAGTCCTTCTACTTTAAATCATGTACTTGATCATTAAATCACGCCCATTAATCAGCGATGTGCCTCACTCCCTTCAGGCTCAAGTTTGCAATCTCAAAGCATCTCTCTCCCCCTGAAGCAAGTCCTGCAAAAACGTCTTTACAATCTGCACTTTTCAAGGGCTGCACGCGCACTCCGGCTCCTAATAGCTTCGAATATTGAGTTTAATCTTTAAATGACACTCAAGCCGCAAGAAGCGCTGAACCGCGAGGGGCTGGACGGCTGGCTCTCTCCTTTTCCCGCCAATAACCGCGCTCCCATCCACCACTGCGGGCTTTTGGCGCGGAAGGATAATATCTCTCGTGAGGGGGAAGGGAGGCTTTTCAATTAAGAGGTTATATTTGAAAGGGAAGCCTCCCGTTTTTTTCCCCATTCTTTCTTTTAAAAGCTAGCTCCGTTGCACGTTATTCGAGGCTCGACCCTCTTTCTGTCTCACAGCCGCTCAAAAACAGAGGTAAAATGCGCCGGATCAGGGGGCTACCCTCAAGAGCGGTCCTTAAAAAAGGAGTGCCGTCCTCGTGCAAGTTGCCTTCTTTATAACTGTCGCAAATCACCCCGAGAGGGGGGAGGGAAAGAAAGGGAGGGCGAGCCACGCACAAAATGGCGGCGTCCGTTTTTTTTTTCCTCCTTCCTCCCACCCGCCACAAACTTACCACGCTCCGAACGTACAAGCGAAAGGGCGCGCGAGCCCTCTCAAGGCTTTATATAAGTCTCCGGGCACGAAAACGAGACTGGTCACGCCCCTCCATTCTCATTGGATACAGGGTCGGAGAGCGGGGGGGGGGGGAGGCTGTTCTTCCAAGGGTTAATTTCGCCCCACCCCCTGCCCCGCCCACGAAACGTAAGAGCTACGAGTGCAATTTTAAATCCCTCGTGGTTTTTTTTTTTTTTTCTTTTTTACCCCGATGCCCTTTTTGTCTTTTATTATTCTCTTTGTGGGGACTTTCTTCCATTGTTTCTCCACATTAAGACCTGGAAAAGAACAGAGCGGGGATTTTTCCCATTGCTGCCGTTACGAAAAGCGAGCTCGGCTGCACGGAATTGCTTTTAGAAAGGATTAGTGGTAAAAGCGGTGTCCCTTAAAAGTGAAATCCAAACCATTTGCCATGTTGAACATAATGCAATCTTAATGTTGCATATTAGTAATATTGCACATTAATATCAGTGCAATTAAAAGCCGAGAAGCGGTCGCACCAGCCGTTGTCATTTTTGTTAAATGCGGTGAATATCAATGAACTCGTTTTTGTATTTTGTATACATTTTATTGGTAGCACCCATACAAATGTAGCTGGGGGTGAGCAGAAACTGCAGCGCACCTGGCTTTGGGGGAAGGGGAGTCGGCTAGGGCTACGGTGCTGCCGGGGTTCTTCTGAGATCAGGGGCCGCGGCTCCAGATGATCAGCGCTGCTTGCTAAGAGCCAGCTGGGCAGCGGGTGGCCGCAGTGGGGTGGGTGAGACAGGCAGCAACCGACGCAGGAGACCTGCCAGAACCCGAGAGACCGACCCACCTGGTAAAGAAAAGAGGAGGAGAAGATATAAAAGGAGGAGGTTTTGGCGGGAAAGGAGAAGAGTGGAGGGTAGAGAAGGTGATAGGGGTGCATGAGGTTTCTCTGAGGCAAGCTTGAAGGAGCTAGAGAGAGAAGGAGAGAAGAATATGTGGGGCAAGCCTGAGGGCCATAGAGAAGAAGATAAGGATGGATAGGTGAGGCTTCTGTGGGGCAAGCCTGAGGGAGAGACAGAGAGAGGAGATAAAGATAAATCTTCCAACAAATAGAGGAGGCTTCTCAGGGCAAGCCTGAGGGAGATGGAGAAGGTGATAAGATAGGTGAGGCTTCTGTAGGGCAAGCCTGAGGGAGATAGACAGAGAAGGGGATAAAGATAAGTCTTCCAACAAATAGAGGAGGCTTCTCAGGGCAAGCCTGAGGGAGATGGAGAAGGTGATAAGATAGGTGAGGCTTCTGTGGGGCAAGCCTGAGGGAGACAGAGAAGGAGATAAAGATAAGTCTTCCAACAAATAGAGGAAGCTTCTCAGGGCAAACCTGAGGGAGATGGAGAAGGAGATAGGATTAGGTCAGGTAACTGTGGGGCAAGCCTGAGGAAGATATAGAAGATGATAGGATAAATTTAATTTAATTTAATTTAATTTCCAATTTATATACCGCCCTTCTCCCTGAGGACTCAGGGTGGTGTACAGCCAAGATAAAAAACATAGAATACAAATATTAAAACATTTAAAAATATATATAAATTTTGGCCCGAAAGTTAAAAAATCACAAACTAATTAAAAGAATTTAAAAATTTCTTCTTAAGCCAACACGGCTTACTGGAAAAGATGGGTTTTCAGGGAACGACGGAAGGTCGTGGATTCTCCTTATCTCCGGGGGCAACTGATTCCAGAGGGTGGGAGCCCCCACAGAGAAGGCCCTCCCCCTGGGGGCCACCAGCCTACATTGTTTGGCTGATGGCACCCTGAGGAGGCCCTCTCTGTGGGAGCGCACGGGTCGATGGGAGGTTGTCGGTAGCAGCAGGCAGTCTCGCAGATAGCTAGGCCCTATGCCATGGAGCGCTTTAAAGGTGATAACCAACACCTTGAAGCGCACCCGGAAGACCACTGGGAGCCAGTGCAGCTCGCGCAGGAGCGGTGTTACATGGGAGCGCCATGTTGCTCCCATCACTACCCGCGCTGCTGCATTCTGGACCAGCTGGAGCCTCCGGGTGCTCTTCAAGGGGAGCCCCATGTAGAAAGCATTGCAGTAGTCAAGGCGAGAGGTGACGAGGGTGTGAGTGACTGTGCACAAGGAATCCCGATCGAGAAAGGGCCGCAACTAGCGAATCAGGCAAACCTGATAAAAGGTCCCCCTGGTAACAGCCGTTAGATATTCCTCCAAAGACAGCTGCCTATCCAGGAGGACTCCCAGATTGCGAGCCCTTTCAGTGGGGGCCAAAGACTCGCCCCCAATAGTCAGTGATGGAGTCAACTGACTATATCGGGATGCCGGGAGCCACAGCCACTCAGTCTTGGAAGGGTTGAGCTTGAGCCTGTTCCTCCCCATCCAGATCCGCACAGCCTCCAGGCTTCTGTTGGGCAAGCCTGAGGGAGATAGAGAAGGAGAAGGAGAAGGAGAAGGAGATGGGGATAGGTGAGGTTTCTCTGGGGCAAGCCTGATGGAAATAGAGATAAGGATATGTCTTTCAACAGATAGGTAAGGCTTCTGTGGGGCAAGCCTGAGGGAGATAGAGAGAGATGATGATAGGATAGGTGAGGCTTCTGTGGGGCATCAAATTTTGAGCACCATATTTTAGGAAAACTATTGACAAACTAGAGCTTGTCCAGTGAAGAACAGCTAAGAATAGGGGCTAGAAGAAAAATAATAGTTGGAGGTTTGTCACGTATGTTTAATCTGAGTAGTCAAGGAAACTATAGCAACTTATTTCTTCACAGAGCCGGGAATTCGAGATTATTTCCAAATTCCATTCCAACCCATTTATGATTTGTCTATGGAGATTCTCAATCATCCAGGTCATGGTTGTCCCAAAAGTGCTTTTTCAAGAGGCAACTGGACTTTCTGTTTTTTTCTTTGAAGACGTTTCGGTTCTCATCCAAGAAGCTTCTTCAGCTCTGACTGGATGGTGGGGAATGGAAGGATTTATATTCCTTACAGACAGCTGATCATTTGCTATTTTTACAGAGTCACTGGGACCATTTGGAGGTTTATGTATCCTCAGGGTCACCTGAGTAGTGCAAATGGGTGTGGAGCCTTTTCTTTGGAACTGTTGAAAGGACTGTGTTGTAAACTGGAGATAGATGATGTTGTATCCCTCCCCCTCTGTTGAGAGAGGGCTGTTCAATTTTGACATAGATGGCCTCTTTGACCCCTCTTTTAAACCAGCGGTCCTTTCTGTCCAAAATGTGGACCTAGCTGTCTTCAAAAAAGTGGCCTTTGTCTTTTAAATGCAGATGGACTGCTGAATCTGGTCCTGATGGGTTTGTTCTCCTATGTTGTGCCATATCTTTATGAAAGTGGTTATTTTGTTTCGTCAATGTACAGATCTGCACGTGACTCACTGCATTGTACCGTATATCTGAAAAGCTCAGGAGGATCTTCAGCCCACACAACATACATGCACACTTTATACACTAAGGCAGAAGCTTGATCACCCCAAGGTTAAAATACCCAGACACAAACTGAGCAATGTGGTATATATAGTTAAATGTAGTGAGACGTGCAGATCTGTACATTGGTGGAAAAAAAACAAAGTCCAGTTGCCTCTTGAAAAAGCACCTTTGGGACAGCCATTTATGATTTGCATACCTATAATCTGTTGTTGGATGATGTTGGAATACAGTGGTATCTCGGTACTCAACTGCTTCGAAACTTGTCAGATTTGGTATTCAATGCATTTTGTGAAAATATTCTTCCGGTACTTGTTTGTTTGGTATTCAACATGTTGTGATAGAAAAATTGTTACTGCCATGGAGAACGGACAGGAAGTTGGCCATGCCAGGAATGTCAGTGCAAAAGGAAAAGAGGAATGGTCACAGAGGGCGAACAGCAAGTCAGCCATGCTGGGAATGTCGCTGACAT